AGTCCTGATTTTTCTTCGGAAGAAAGCCTGAAGCAATAAAATAAAATAAAATATAATGGGTATGTTCCGATACAAATACTTACGTCTTTCGAAGTGTCCTTGCTATATCTTTATTTTCTCAACAGAACGATCGCGAATGGCGATTAAAATCAGCCTTTCCACGGATTGCCCGTCAAAATAGATTGGATATTGGGTTCACATTGGTGGGAGAGGCGAAAAGATGCTAGGATCACCAATATTGGGTAGTATGGTGGTTGGTATGCGCGTCTGTTAAGAGTTGAACCTCAATTCAAAGCTCGTGCGAGCGAAGAACACGAGGGTCCAGGGAAGGCAACAGCTGCACAAGACGTCGACAGAGTGAGTGATATAATGTGGTTGAATAAATATAGAAAATCTTACGTTTTGTGCAGCGGATCACGCTGAAGCATCTCTGGCTCGAGCAGATGAGAGTAGCGTTCGAGGCTGCTCGTACGACGGCGGAATGTCGAACGGGAGACCAGGAAGTGAAGGAGAGTGGAACGAGAATTGGGTTGTTGGAGCAGGAGAAAGTGACGGAGTTCTTGTGAGGGTTTATGCTGGCAACCCAGCTGATCGAGGGTGGTGTTCTGCCGAAGTCATATGCCTGGGCGCAGCCGGAACTTGTCTCTGCACCGCTGGCCACCCCGCTTCCCTCCACCCATTCCATACCGGTTTACGTCCCATTTCCTCATTACTCGCAAGACTCTGGTGACGAGATTAAATTTCCAGCGGACGATGGCGTAATGGTCACCGATACCGTCCCTGGTGTGGATGCAGGAGAACCGGTGGACGTGGAGCAACCGACGGCAGGACCATCAAGAACGACACACGAAAGTGATGGTTGAATTTCTTTGTGCTTTCAGAAACTGTATTTCTTGATGACTGCATAATACTGTTGACGGGTTCCATGTAATACGAGTAGTTGGGCAACAGAGGGTCGAGCAGAGAGACTTGAAAGAGGCGGGCATGAGTGTGCGATATGCAAATGCGTGCTAACAGAAAGCGGCACGTAGTTTCACACGGCTATGAGTCTCCGATAAGCCTTGCAGATAAAAGCGTCGGAGGACAATTCATAGCAAGAGTTCAACGAAAGAGAGGCAAACCGTGGTGGTAGTGGTGGTGTCGAGAGCGCGTCGCGTAGTCGTTTCCACGTGCTCGGCGTTGACCGGTTGTTATTTATCTCAAGGTTAAAGTTACCTTTACACAGAGCGAGCCCGAGGAGTCGCCCTGTGTCAGTTTTGCCTCCGCGTCAACCTCTCTCCCTCTCTCCCTCTGTTCTCCCGCCGCCGCGTGCTCTCGGGTTCGATATAGAGCCGGTGGCGTGCTATTGGCAGCCACCAGAAGGCTGCCTGTCATAGGATCACCCGGGACGGCTATTTAAGGGGAGAAGGTGATCCGCTGATCCCTTCGCGGACTCGGGTTCAATATTATTAATGTTGTGGCCAAAACGTGAGTTGCGTCGTCGTCGACGCGACGCGGCCCCATGTTGAGTGGACGCGTCGACGTGACGCGGTCTCCCATATTCAGTGGACGCGTCTCATACCTCCGCCGAGCTGTCGCTTCGCGATAGATAAAAGCCCTCCACTATTTCCTGCCTGAGAGATTTTTCTTTTGCATTTTTGAGTTTTACTACACCGCAATATGAATTTCTGTTTTACGGGATATGTATCAAGTACAGAGCTATCCTAGGAAGGTGGTCCGTACTGCGGCGTTCTGCAAGTTAATGATCTTCCTTCTAAATAGAGTGTATTGGCAACCAATATATATTAGTGTTTCTAATGTTATCATTAGCCTACGTAATGTGGATCGATGTGGAGCGTAAGTTGAACATACGTTATGTAAGCCGCCTGCCATTCTCGGTATGCCTCCCGTTCGAAATACAAGGAAGGACGTGGGAATAGCCATAATACGCGAAGTAGGCCGGCTAATGCCGGCAGAAGAAGCTATAAGTTCGGCAGCCTAATATATATTGGTTGCCAATACACTCTAATCATATCACCCTTTAGGACAACCCTTTTACCCGGTTTCGAGACGGCTCCATGAACGTCAAAGTTTGAATTGAAGCTCATTGTCAGTTATGACGCGATTATGGAAGGGAAATGGGTTGTGCCGAGGAGAGTGACGCAAGGCACACGCTCTATTCTTGGATTACACTTCTCTCTAAGCATTTACCCTGAACTGGTCCCAGCGTAAGGTCAATGCGTCGATTCCCTTCGAATAAGAAGACCGTATACGTCAGTGAATTGACTTAGCAATGTGCATAAAAATAATTATGATGTAGGTTGTATAATTATTATATTACACAAAGTACAGAATACTAATTGATGAACAATACATGAAAATGGCGTAAGATATCATGAACTCGGAAAAAAAAAAATGAAGCAAAATGTGGTTCAACTGTCCTCTACAAATTCATGAAGCCATATTTTTCTTCATATTTCGTTATCATTTATCATTGCAGTCATTTAAACACGACCAGCACCTCCGCCAGCAGCTCCCGCACCTGGACCGGCCCTACTTCCTGCCCTCTCACCAATGTGTCCAGTCGGCATACCGAATCCCCACGCAAGCTCGCTCCTGATCAACTGGCTGGTCCCGATGTAAAGCGCGATGAGGGCAGTGATAAAGCCGAATGCGCCACCCGCGTCGGCGAGAGCAGATGAAGAGCGGGTAGTCCATTGCGACACGGCGAGCATGACATAGGTGAGGAACCAGAAGAAGAACAGGGAGATGAAGGAGATGTTGCGGCGGAGGACGGTGAACATGAAGAGGAAGGTGATGATGGCCCATACAATGTAGTAGAGGCCGACGGCGTTGTTGAATTCGGAAGCACTGGCGAAACCAGTCCTGACGCCGGCGTTGGGCCACAGGATGAGGGCGTAAGAGAAGTAGAAGGCCCCGTACATGGAGAACACTGAAATTAATTATTAGAATGAAAACTTGATTTATGTAAAATACTGAAATACTTACTGGTTGCACCGAAAACGTTACCCCTTGGGAATTCCCACATACCAGCTAGGAATTGTACAAGACCGCCGACGAAGAGACCGACGGCGACCATGACATTTGCGGATTGAATACCACGGGTATGTACGAGGTAGAAGGACCATAGGAAAGTGGAGAAAGCAAATGAAAAGAGACCGCTAAGCAGCATATATTAGTTAAATTGAAAGATATTAAGGATACGAAGATACTTACGTAGGGCCTGGGTTAGCAATCCTCGTGAAATAGCGTTGGTACGAAACGGGGTCATCAGAGTGTGGTCCAAACCCATCTGCTGGCATCATAGTACGTTGGAATCCGTAGTTATTGCCATATCCACCTCCATAATGCTTCTCGTTGAAGCCATGGCCACCACCGTATCCGGCACCAGCACCATTGTTGTAGGCACCATTACCGGCGGTGAAGGCACCATTGCCAGCGGCAGTGTCAGCGGTTGTTGCGGCCATTGTAGTCGTCGTCGAAGAGTCGGATTAGATTACTAAGCTTATAAAAGCGTGAGAGGCGTAAAACGAGAAATGCTGAGTGAGGAGCATGATGTGGGGTAGGTAGAGTTTATATAGGGTTTTGCGAGGGAGGAAGCTTAGGCCCCGCCGTCCGTTTTGGGAAGAGGGAATATAGATGACTCACTGTGGTGGTAAACCGCAAGAATAGAGAAAACCTCATCATTGAGAGTGTCATAGGTACATCCTTCCAATTCTTAATAATTTGGCGAAGGAAAAGATCCAATCATTTCATAGAGAACGGATCTAGACTTTGGCGTGAAGGGTTCCGGTTCTCGAAGTGGGTCATGAGAATACCCTTTACTGCCAGAATCGTCGAGAATATCCCTGCTTTGGAGTGTATTATGTGAAGAGTTCAACCAGCTCTGGTACAAGGGCCGGCCAAAGAATAGAATCTTCGAGATAGTGAATAACTTGATGGAATCCCGGCTGTTTAGCGGATTACGTCGGTGACTGTGACGTTGAACATATGTTGGAGTCGGGCGCTGTTGGCTTCATGGATCATCCCGCCCCACCTCGAGCTGCGACTTCCAGAGATCAGCTGTTAAAACGTCTTCAATCCCTGAGATCTGACTAGTTGACTGCGCAAATATAGTTAGTCAAGAGAAGAAAAAAATGCCGTGGATGTTGAAAGTTCTACAAGTATGTCGACTTGGCGGGACGGAAAGAAACGGGTTGAAGGTCGTGATGTCACACACGAGTCACAGTTTACCTGGCCCTTTGGCGCAACGTCCGCTTCGAGAAGAACTTCTAGGCTTATCTTTCACGAACTTTCTACAACTCAGGCTCGTGATCTATAATTCTTGACAATGAAAGATCGTACGACTTTCACTTATTTTCAGGTGGCTCAACGTTCATGAACGGTGTGACTCGGATTGGTACTGCCGTTGGAATGTAAGCATGTAGTCCGAGTCAAGTCCGAGTCGTATGAACGTTCGAAGAACGACTGGCTCTGCGGAATCGGATGAATATATTCGTGGCACAATATCTTTTACAAATTAATTGCCACTGGAACTCCGGGGATTATTGACGTATGGTATAAGATACTTTAAGTAATTGACACTATAAAATAGACGTAAAGCAGATTACTCTGAATATGACATGAGGAGATAGAATAAATATACTAATACTTACTACGTTGCAGGCTTTACAGCTGGAACTGTCATTGGAGAATAAATTTTTAAGTACATCTGCATCTCCTGGCGAAACCGGCCGAGCTATAGCGAACACAGGACTTTGGAGCTGTTTGCTGCTTAATTTAGTCTTGTTATTAATTCGTCAGCCTCCGGTCCCAACAACGGAAATACTATTTATCACAGGAGCTCCTGGTCGTGTTGATATACTGATTCCGAGAAGTCCGTGCGTCCTAAAAAGGTCTAACTCAAACATTCAGACTCCTTGCCGCTGTTCTGTGGCAAGATGGATCGAAGGAACTTTACCAGGAAGAAGTTCAATACAGGTGAACGCAACAAAAACGTCTGACGAGAGTGGGATTTGAACCCACGCCCCCGAAGAGATGAGATTACAAGCTAACCTTAGTCTCACGCCTTAGACCAACTCGGCCATCTCGCCTTGTGCTAAGGCGCCTTACGAATACGAACTCGACCTCTGTGTGTAAGGAACTTCAATGGTCCGATGCAATATAATCTCAAATCTCCTGAGTAGACTCGGATATCTTTTGGGACTCTGAAGAAAAGTCTGCCAGTGTTCTTTTAGCAAAAGCTGTCTTGGGGAAGCTTAAGATCTTGGTAGAAGTAATCGTCAAGATTCACGCTCAATAGATGGAAGCTCAGAAATAGCGAACCAGAAGCATCTGAACAATCAAATAACCCTCCCGCAATATGCGCTCAAAGGTCTTTGAATATAATCCTGACCGCTGTAGTACACACTAGCACCTATTTGGTACAGTCATAGAAATAATCGTAATGCTACCTCTTATCTAGGAGAAGTGTCATTCTCCTTTGATATCCTTTTTCACTAAGTCCCGAAATAGTTCAGCTATACTTGTACTACTTCATATCAATGGCGACCCGTATTCAGATAGCAAGATGGGCTTAGCTTAACCTAGTGCCAAGGGCTAGAGGACGACTGGAAGGTCCTCGCATCTCATTCAATGATCCAGTCAGCTGCGATAAACTGAGTTTCTTCGGCGGTGCAACTTCGACGCCCATCATCCAAGAGCTCTCACAGAATTCAACGAAGGTATAAAGTGGCAGGTAACCTTCAACTTCATCTTT